ATATATATATATATATATATATATATATATATATATATATATATATATATATATATATATATATATATATACACGAGGGTCGGAATAAAAGTCATCGTGACGGGAATATACAGATCGAAATACCGCAGTATAATAATTATTTAGAACTAGTTCCTCTACGCTTTTTTAAGAGGGAAAATATATATTTTGTAATCTGAAACGAGCAGCGTCATATTGCACTAGTTTGAAAGCAATTAGTTTACAACGAAAAACTCAGGAGAATTTAACGTCTAGAAGTCGGATTCATTATAATTCTATAATACTTGAAATATTCGAACATCATAAAAGGATCATACGAATAATTATTCTGCAATTGTTTCAATTAGTGAAAAGAATGGCGATTAGAGAAATGACGAGGATAAATATAGATATAATAGAAATAATTGAGTATTTATCGATTGTTCTAAAATACACCTCTTGTATTATTTTATAATCATGATGATATATTGAAGATCTCAAATAAGAGATTCGCAAATGTTTAAATTTCTTTATAATTAACTCTAAATATGATTTTTATTTGTCTTCAATATATAGTATTAAAAATCATTTTCCTTTTTCTTTATATAATAATATATAATGTATGTACTTTCAAAAAATTTTATCTCATCCAGTTTTAATCAAAATCTCATTTTTATCGATTGGTTCAATTCATAGAATAATCTTCTCTTTCTCAAAGATAATTAAAAAGATTTTTTTAATAGAAATATAAGTTATAGAAAATACATTTCCCTTATCATTTTGAATTAAATATTAAAAAGCTGAAGCTATTTTTAATGCATGAAAAATTAATCTAATACTACATACAATGCAAAATGAAAAAAAGACGTATTTCAATTTCTTAAAATTAAAATTGTCTCAATATTAGCAGCTTACTATTATATAGAATAATTCAAACTCTCGTGTATGAAATATATATTATGAAAATAATAAATAACATTATCCGTTTATCGTTTAACAACCTACGATATTCCAAATGTTATTTTATTATAAGATAGTATAAACAAGGCTTGATTAAAATAACGTATAAGAATAAAGAAATGTCGTGACCATTATCATTTGATTGGACAGTTCCTATTTATACCGCGTATTAAACTACGTGGCATGACGTGACATACATATAAGGGGCGTAGAAGTTTGCATTCCATCCAATTCTCCTCAACAAGGCAATAACGGGCGTCTCGAAAATTTCCCGTCCTTCTGCCGCAGATCCCCCTAATTAAGAACACTAGCCGAGTGTTAGAGAAGGGAATCCAATGACGATGCTCATGTTCAAAGCCTAAGCGTCTTTCTCCCGTCCCTGGAATCAAATTTCCCATTCTATTAGCATCCACATTAGCGTACGAAGGAAAGAAATTAAAATATATGCAATTATCCAGAAAACTAAAATACAACGAATGTTACGTAATGTTATAACTATAAAATATTATTAAATAAACACTATCAAACAATATCTCAAACAGAACATAACAGGAAAAAATACAATTGGCTAGAAGTCATTTCTTAACATAGAATTTTCAACGCTATTTTTAAAAAGTTCTTTCTTAGTGTTCCTATTATGTTCTTTCTGTACTCTCTTGTGCTATGTTTTAACTCTTTTGTGCTATGTTTTAAACTTTTATGTTTATAACAAAGTTATTGAACAATAAATTTTATGCATATTAAGTTGAAATTATAATTTATTTTATATGATTCTCCTGTTTTTTTCCATTCACTGAAGGAAAATTTTAATTAAAGTGCAACTTTAAACTGAATGTAATACTAGCTACTAGTATTGCTATCTAGCGATGGCACGATGTAACTAAAATGTACAACGTATGGGAAAATCGAATAATCAATTGACACACACACACACACACACACACACACAC